CTCGGGCGCACGGAGGGAGGAGGAAGGAGCAATGAGGGAACGATGAGGGACGACGACGACGAAGCCTCCTCCTTCTCTTCGTTCTCCTCCTCCACAACCTCACCTCACCTCTTCGGCACCTCAGGACGGTCGACATCCTGCCAGCCGAGGCAGCCACGGCCACGGTGGCGTGCCGAGTTCCTTCCTTTGAGGGAGCACGTTCGTGCCCTCCCCTGATGTCCCCCCCGCGGCCTGAGGACGAGGATGAAGCCACTTGTGGGAACGTCCGGCCAGGGCCTGCCCAACAGCGGCGCTCTGCGAGCACCCCCCGTCCATCTGCCCCAGGCTTGCAGGGGCCAGGCCAGCAGTAGCGCTGGAGGAAGGGGAAGGGGGGAAGAATGGGGGAGAGCGGGGGGCGGGAAGGAGGAGGAGAAGGAGGAGAAGGAGGAGGAGGAGAAGGAGGAGGAGGAGGAGGAGGAGGGGAGGGGGAGGAGGAGGAGGAGGAGGAAGAGAGGAGGAGGAGGAGGAGGAGGAGGAGGGGAGGCGGAAGGGTGGGGAGGAGGAGGAGGTAGGAGGAGGAGGAGGAGGAGGAGGAGGAGGAGGAGGAGGAGGAGGAGGGGGAGGAGAAGGTTGGTAGGAGGGGGAGGAGGAGGATGATGATGAGGAGGACGAGGACGAGGAGGCGGAGGAGGAGGAGAAGAAGGAGGAGGATGAGGAGGAGAGAAGAGGAGTGCTTCTTTTTCTTCTTCTTCTTCTTCCTCTTCTTCTTCTTCTTCCCCCGCCCACAGCCCCACTTTCGCTCTCCTCCCCCCCCCCGCAACCCAAGATTCATACTTTGCTCGCATTTGTGAGGGGGGCCCTGCGGAGGCCTGCTTGGCATGGGCACCCACGCTTGGTGCCCCAACCTGCTGCACGCGCGAGCGGCACGCAGTGGCACGCAGTGGGTCGGTTGCAGCACCCCGCGCGGCTGCGTGTCGCCCGCCGTGCTCCAGGCGTGCGGCCGCGCGCTGCGCAGCGCCTGCCCAGGCGCACCGCGAGCACAAGAAGGAACCGGAAGCTGGTGCAACACCAGCTGGGTCCAGGGCCCAGGGGGAAGAGGAGGAGGAGGGGAGGAGGAGGAGGAGGAGGAGGAGGAGGAGGAGGAGGAGGAGGCCGAGATCGGGAATCCAGGGCCCGGAAGCTGGTGGAACACCAGCTGAGGCTGGGCCATGAACACCACCGCCGCCCCCATCGGGTCAGGACTCCTCCAGGGTCTCTGAAGCCTCCTGGGCACACTCCTGAACGAACGCCCGCACCGCAGCAGCACGGCCCTGCTCCCGCCCCCGACCGGGCGCCAGTGCGCCAAGCTGAAGGCAGTGCCGGCCGCGGCCGCCGAGCAGCCAGGCCGGCCGCAGCCCGAGCCTCAAGGCCGTTGCTGCTGCCAGCGGCACCCCCGCAGCCTCGCGACGACGCGTGCCAGCGTGCACCCGCGGCGGGCAGCGACACCAGCGGCGGTGAGGCTGCTTGCCGGCGGCGACGATAGGGGCGAATAGCCCAGGGGCGGTCATTACACGCATTCGCCCAGGAGCCTGTTCGAAGACATAGCTCATCGGCGCACCTGACTACATGTAGCGCTCTCCTCTGGGCTATTCGCCCCTATCGTCGCCTCTGAGCTTGCCACGTCCGACACCGCAATGAGCAGCGACGGGTGGGGGAGCCCCTCGGGGACTTGCCCCGAGAATTCGGCCTCGCACACACCTTGGGTCGGGCTGGCAGCAGGGCGCCGGCGCACCTGCTCCCCATTCCCGGTCCCCTTCTCCTGCTTCCTCTCCTCCCCCTCTTCCTCCCCCTCTTCCTCCTCCTCCTCCTCCTCTTTTCCTTCCTCCTCCTTACACCTCCTCCTCCCCCTCCTCCCTCCTCCTCCTCGCCTCCACCTCTTCTTCCTCCTCCTTCCTCCTCCTCCTCCTCCTCCGTCCTCCATCCTACCACCCTTACCTCCTCCTCCTCCTCCTCCTCCTCTCCTCCTCCTCCTCTATCCTCCCTCCTCCTCCTCCTCCCCCCTCCTCTCCCTTCCCCCTCCACCTCCTCCCCTTCGCCTCCTCCTCCTCCTCCTCTCCTCCCCCTCTCCTCGTGCAGTTCGTCGTCGTTCTCCTCCTCCTCCTCCTCCTCCTCCTCCTCCTCCTCCTCCTCCTCCTCCTCCTCCTCCTCTCCCTCCTCCTCCACGTCTTCCCGCTTCCCTTTCGCCTTCTTCAGGCTTCAGTCTGCGGACCGTTCCATTCTGTTCGGACGGACTGGGGCCCTCGCCTCCTACGGCACCCCTGCCCCCTAGGCGTAGCTCCTTCCTGTCGCGCCACAGGGCGTGCCGGCAGGGCGGGGCGGGCGGTTCGCCTGAGATCCTGAGGCTTGAGGTTTGCAGCAGCTTCGCGGATGGAGGGCGGGCGCTTTTCAAGATGCGGCTCTCGCGCCCGCGCCGCTCACGTTCGTCTTCCAAGTTTGCAGCAGCTTCGCGGATGGAGGGCGGGCGGTTTTCAAGATGCGGCTCTCGCGCCCGCGCCGCTCACGTTCGTCTTCCAAGTTTGCAGCAGCTTCGCGGATGGAGGGCGGGCGGTTTTCAAGATGTGGCTCTCGCGCCCGCGCCGCTCACGTTCGTCTTCCAAGTTTGCAGCAGCTTCACGGGTGGAGGGCGGGCGGTTTCAAGATGTGGCTCTCGCGCTAGCGCCGCGCACGTTCGTCTTCCAAGTTTGCAGCAGTTTCGCGGATGAAGGGCGGGTGGTGTTCAAAAAAAGGCTCTCGCCGAAGCACGCATTCGTCTCAAAACATGCGTCAATACTACGGATGAAGGGCACTGGCTTTCAACTAGTAACTCTCGCCGCAGCGCCGCGCACATTCGTCTCAAGCAATGCAACAGTTTCAAAGAAACGCATGGTCGAAACAACGGTTTAGGGATGTCAAGACGCAGCCGTGAAGATGATTAGTGCTGCTGAAGTCCTAGAAATGGTGTTCGCGTGCGGTTTAGGACTTTCAGGCCGCAACGCTCACCTCGGTCCGCGGCGTTCAATCCCATGAACAGTGTTTTGAAACGATTCTGGATTCTCAAACAGTTGACTTCTATAACAGGCCACTTCCCGCAATGAAAACAAATTCTTGCAGGGACCTGTGAAGAGGGAACTTTGACTGCAACATCGGTGAAGCTGTCTTGGGTTTGCACTGGGCCTCGTCCTCCTCCTCCTCCTCCTCCTCCTCCTCCTCCTCCTCCCTTCTCCTGCTCCTCCTCCTCCTCCTCCTCCTCCTCCCTCCTCCTCCCTCCTCCTCCTCCTCCTCTCTTCTCCTCCTCCTCCTCCTCCTCCTCCCCTCCTCCTCTCTCCGCCTCCTCCTCCTCTCCTCCTCCTAGCCCTTCTGCGCTCGAGTAGCGTTGCAGGAACAGTTCTTCAGAAGGGCCCGCGTTCCTGCGAGCCTTCTTTCGTTTCTGCGGGTGGAGTCCCGCGCTTCCTACCACGATACCCATCCAGTTGTGTGCGCGATGGCGGTGCCGTCCCCAGCAGCGGCGAACTGGGGAGGGCCGATCCCGCCTTGGCAGCTGGAGGCGCAGCAGCAGCAGTATGCCCAGTCCTTCAACAAAGGCAAAGGATTCGGCAAAGGAGGCAAGACAGGTTCTACGTTCGGTGGAAAGGGTGGCGCCCAGCACGGCGATGCACCCTCATCGAGGTGGACTTGTCCGAGTTGCGGCTGCAAGAAGAACAAGCAGGCCTGGCAGCAGTGCAAACACTGCTGGGCTTGGCGTTCGTCACCATCGTTCCAACAGCCCGCCGCTCCTCGCGGAGTGTGGGCACAGGGGCCGCCGCCCCCAGGGACATGGGTTGCTAATCCGATGCTGGCTCCCGGTGGTGCTGCTCCTCTTCATCCTGGCCCGCAAGTTCCAGGCGCAGGAGGAGTCCAGCTACCCCCCGACGAGAACACTCGGATTGCATCACTGGTACAGTTGTTGCGAGCCCAGGGTGACGAAGAATCAGCAAAGCGTTATCAACACAAGCTCGACGAGATGGCCGCTGCCAAGAAGGTTGAGCCCCCCTTGCAGCAGAAGGTCAACCAGGCGTACCACAGCATGCGGAGCTTGGAGGCCCGACTGTCCAAAGCGGTGGAGTCCTTCGAGCGCATCTCCAACGAGCTGGTCCAGGCCCGCGCCAATGTGGAGTCGATTACTTCGCAGTTGGAGGCCTCGGAGAAGCTACACAAGGAGCTGGTGGAGCAGTTGCACCAGTCGGTGGATGATCGGCCTCGGAACCCCGAGGGCTCTGTCAAGCAGGAGGTCAAGATTTCCATCGCTGACCTGCTTGGTGGACAACCGCTACCCATTGACATGTCCAGCCTGTTGGAGTGGGAAGCAGACTATGACCTCAATGAGGAGGACAGAAACGAGGCTGCGGCTCGGCTCAAGACACTCAATGACGAGATCCAGAAGCAGGCGAAGAAACTCTTTGGTGCCGCGCAGGCTCATGCTGAACGCGTTCGTAAGGAGATGGAGGAGCAGAAGTCACGCTTGGCTGGCAAGAAGCGGAAGGTTCTTGTACCAGGCGCCGCTGCAGAAGCTGAAGATGATGGTCCGCAAGTGGGTCATTCAGCCGCTGCGCAGACTCCTGGTGGTGAAGCTCCGGAGGCTGGTCAAGAGTCGACTTCCCCCACGGCGGCTCCATCAAGCGGTACGGGCGCGCCATCGGCGAGTTCTGATGCCAAGGCGCGTGCAGCCAAGATTTTACAATCAGACCCCCCCAAAGGCGGGAGCGCCTGAGGGGGGGAGCCAGCGAGATCAGAACTTTTTGACTTCTTCCAACGGAGGGGGTACCTCCCCCACTGCAGCCTGTGTGTTGGCCAGCCCTGAGTGGATCTCCCAGGGCACCTCTGAGTCACATGCGGTCTCTAATACTAATTTTTTGTGGGCCCACAGTGGCCCTCTCGTTCGGGCGGTTCAGCATACGTTAGTCAGGGCCAAGGGGGCCCTGCTGGCGAATGGTGTTTCTGCTCGGCCGTCGAAACCTATGACCCTT